ATTTGGATTATAATATATTGAATTAAATAAAAAATTTGTTCAACATGATCATTGTATTTTTTGAATCATTTAATTTTGAATAATAAAGAATATAATAATTAATGATCATTAAATATTTGAATAAATATCTTTTTAGATCATAACAAGCTAAAGGATCAAAAAACGCATTAAATCATAATATTTTAAATCATCTTTATTTGGATAATATTAAATTCAATATTTTTTTTAAAAAAATTAATCTTTTAAATCAAGTTTGATATCTAAAACACCTTATTTTTCAAAAATTATTTTTTCCAAGTCATCAAAGTAGTGAGAAGAAGCATTTCTTAAATATTTATAATTTTTTAAGAATTTTTTTCAGGATTTTTCTACAAATATAAAAAATAATTTTTTTTTTCAAATTTCCATGATTGTGCTCATTTTGTAGATAATAAAATTTTAAGAACTTTAGATATTTTAACAAAAAATTTCAAAGAAAAGAAAAAGCTATAGCTGAAAAACTAAGTGGGTGGAAGAAAAATACTAGCTAATAAGGATTGTACACTTGTCATGCTGTGATTAGAGCGCGTGTCAGCTTCTGAATAGGTCACATGGGCTGATTTTTTTTTTCTTTTAAACTTTTTGTTTTTGTCACTTCTACCCTCCAAATAATTAATATTCCCCAAAAATTATTAAAATCGCGAAATTAATTACCAAAATGTTATATCACTAACTCTTATATTTGGAGTTTCAGTCCGCCAACATGGCTTTCCACCAATTGGTCTTCGGATTCTTGAATCTCGTTTCTAGCTAACTGGTAAAAATCTGTAGTGTACTCATCTGCTGTGCGCAACCCCTGTTTCAGATTTTGTAGTCGTTGGTATATAGTTCGGTAGGAACCTTACACGGAGGTCTTTCTTCATTTTCCCCATGTGTTAATCTTTTCTTTTCCCATGCGATGTCGTGTGAGCTTTAGTTGTTGCCACCATGCCATTACGCGACCCCAGAATCTGGTAGCGATCAACGAAACCCGCCTCTCATCAAGAACCCCTCGGAATTCTAGAATTTCATATATTGTTGCAAGCCAATTGAGGAAGTCTTCCGCCTGTAGGTTTCCATGAAACTTTGGAATGTATGTTTTGAGCCCATATTCCCATTGCTTGTCATCGCTTCTATCATTATGCCACGGTGTACGTTTGTATGGTCGTTAATCATCAAATTCCTCACCCTCATTTTCTATTGAGTCAACGACAGAACCCCTCGAACGCCGCCCTGGTTCCATCACGTTCAAGAGGGTGGTCATCCTCTCCATTACTTGATTAACAACATGATCCATACGCTCATAAATAATTCTTCTAACATGATCCTCAAACTGGTTGTTGTCATCCCCCTCGAAGATCTCTTCCATACAAGGCTTGCACTGTAAAGTTTGTCGTGGATGCATGATTCTGAATCACTTTGCGCTCTAATACCAACTAATGCAGTGAAAATCTAAGATATGATAAATCAATCACATGTGTTGATTTGTACATACAAATACCAAATGTAACTCTTCTAAACTCGTTGATTCACAGTTACGTGAATACTGGATCAAGGCATCAATAGACAATCCTACAAAGAATTACGTATTGGAACAGATGGAAACAAAATATTCTTTTCATCCCAAAAAAACCGAAATTTCCTATCAAAGCAACCAAGGTTTTAAACAGGAAATAAAGCTCAAAAGTCAAACATAAAGCAAAAACCAAACTAGGAAAAATATAGATAATAAACCCAATGATTTAGATACGTAACTCATCAAAACTATCCAAGAAGGTTAGGGTCTGCTCCTCCACGTCGAGGCCCACATCAAATAGACACTACATATAAAGATGAAAAACATCAAACAACATATGAATGCATGGAGCTGCATTTTCTTTGGAAAAATAAAACAATTAGTTAACATTATAAATTTTAAATAAACTATTAAATTTTGGAACAAAACTAATTTACCACATATCTAATTGTCACAAAACAAAGTTAACATCAATTTTGATGTTGGTGTAACTATACGGGTTCGTCCTCCCAAGATTGCGCGGGTAAAATAGATAGTTGGTAAAGTTTTCTTTGTGACGCTCTCTAAGAAACTCATTTTCAAATAGTCATAATAGAGAATTATGGATTTTGGTTGTAGGTGAATTACTAAATGGAATACAATATGTTATATAGCGAAGGAAAACTTAGATTTTTTGTGTTCGAAATACGTGTCCGGAATGTGTGTCCAATATGTTAGTACTACATGTATGGTTTTGACTACCATTCTTCACAGTTGACTAGGTCCGTCAGGAATGTACAGTGTCGGATTCCAGATTCAAAACTATACTTACCACCGACTTCAAAAAATAAAAAATTCACTAGTATTCTCTATTCCGAAAATAAGGCTTGGTTTACGAAGGTCAATTTACTTAATTTTCTTAATCTATAATGAAACGGATAGATGTGTAAATTTCTTATTATTTTTTTATGTGAATAGCTCCACCAAAAGTCTTAATTCAAAAGTCTTTGTAAACAAAAATCTAGCCGGTTGTAAATACTTTTTCAAACTTTTCATTATTAGGCTGTAGGGAGTGGCTCGCTAACTCCCTTGCCATGACCTCGCCACCAATCCTTTTTAAGGTGCTAAACCCCTCGCTTCTTCCATGCTCACTAGCAGCTTGACGATAGAAAAGAGAAAACCTTGAAGAGAAGGGCTATGATTGATTTTATTTGTTTTCTTATTATTATAATTATTTTTTAATCAAGCCTTTTGATAGTTTCTTTTTCAGTGTTCCCCTTAAATCCAAATGTATTGAGTTTAAGATAAAACTTATGTGGAAGGTAAAATTATGATATGACAATGTGTATAGCATGTGTTAAACATACTACCACTGTTTATAACCTTATTATAATTTTATCTTTTTCGTTTGCAGCTGGATTAGGGTGTATATAACAACTTACAAAATGCTTAATAGTATTCAATATAAGCAAATTATAAAAAAAAACAACATAAATTATCTTTTTATCAATATAAATAATGTATCGTGTATTTTTATCTATAACTAGTGTAGGTGCCCATGATTTGCATGGGTTAGATGTGGATTACATAATAATATAAGGAACTAAAAAGATCACATACATGAACAACAAAACTTAAAAGAAACAACCTTTTTTTAGGGGGGTGAGGGTAGTGATATGGAATTTGCTATGCCCATGCAATAGGTAACTGTAATGATCTAATAAAAGCATGTTGCTTTAAGTCAACGTGTTGTGATAAGCATCCTAATGCAACCCATAATTCATTATTGGAACTCTAAAGTAATAAACCACATAAAATCATTTTCTCAGGTAATTGCCTACACATGGAAAGGAAAAGAAAATTTGTATAAGATGATTAAAATTTGTATAAGATGATTAAAACAAAGTACAAGATACACCACAACCTGAAACTTTTTTTCCATGTCTAACTTTTGAAGTACATATCTGAAGTTATGACTTCACGACATGATACGCCCACATAATATTAGAAAATCCAAAGAATGTGGCCATAGAATGGAGAAATACGTTGAATGGTATAAGGTACAATTGGTGAAACAAATTTCATGCACAACTACTTTCAGGTACAATTTCAACTTTTTAGTGCAAAAGCAAAAATTCACAAAGCTAGAACAACAAATTAAGATTCGATTTGATACACTTAATTTAAGAAGGCAACGATGCTATATAAGTAGAGCATACTCACCCGTAGCCAGCGGGAATTTCGCAAAACCGACCCAAAGAGAAAACACCAAACAAATCGGTGGTTCTTCCGTTGAAACCGACCCAAGGGAATTTCGGTGGTTCTTCCGTTGGCTCTCTCTCCGACGATCACCAAACCAGGTAAAAAAACGTCTCCTAAGAGTCACAAGCAGCAGAGGAGGCAGGTAGAGAGAGAAGGATGGCCACCGAGGGCAAAGTAGACGACAATGAAGGAAAAACAGGTCTCTGTTGGGAAGAAGCAGACAACTATGGAGTCGCGGCATATAGTGTTTGTGGAGGCTTTGCAGTCGGCAAGAATTCATTTAATCGGAGAGCAATCGAAAGGAACTGGGGTAATAACCCCCAAATTGGAAGCAACTGAATTTGGGGGTGGGGGCGGTTAAACAGGGAAGAAGCGAGTCTGAGTCGGGTGGGTTGATTCGAAGCAGAAGAGGGTGATGTAAGTGACCAAAAGAGTAGATCGGTGGTGGAGCGGTGGGGGTTACCAAAAAGAAAACATTTATCTTTTTATCAATATGAACGATGTATCATATCTTTTTAGTTTTTTGTTGTTGAAAATATTAAATTAGGCATGAATTTTGATATGATAAATTTTTATGTTAACATTTCTTATAAGATTTGTTTCTTTTTGTCATAATTTAAACGTCTTATATACTAAAGGTTATAAAAGTACTTTTACGGCAAAAGATTTGGCTATAAAAAGGGGACATGCATAAGTGGAAGCGTATGTGGTGAAAATGGAATCAAGAAACGGGAAATGGCATACAATGGCCTCTCTCATTGTATCTCTTGTTGTAGTAGTAGTTTCTCTAAGCTTCATTTTACCGACGACGACTGCAGATATGAAAACATATCAGACTCTTCAATATCCAATTAACGGCAAGTCTTCATTTTACCAACCAGCGCCACAAGAATCCATCCATAGCAGTATTATTCCATTACCACCTCCGACACCACCATTAATACCACCTCCTTTGCCACCCACCTCTCCGTTAATACCACCTGTTTTGCCACCCTCGCCTCCTAAGAAAAAGGAACCCAAACCTCCTAAAAAGAAAAAACGTCAACCTCCAAAGGACAAGGATCCCAGTCCTCCTAAGAGAAAGAAACCCAGACCTCCGAAGAAGAAGAAACACAGACCTCCTAAAGGAAAGGGATGCAAACCTCCTAAGAAGAAGAAACGCAGACCTCGTAAAGGAAAGGTACCCAAACCTCCTAAAAATAAGGAACCCAAACCCCCTAAGAAGAAGGAACCCAGGCCCCCTAAGAGAAAAGAACCAAAACCTCCTAAGAAGAAGGAACCCAAACCTCCAAAGAAAAAGGAACCCAAACCTCCTATTGAAAAAGAACCTGAACCCCCTAAATCACCTTCGCCTCCTAAATCAGCGCTTCCTATTCCATTACCTCCAATACCTAAACTTCCTATACCTAAACTTCCTATACCTGATCCAATACCTAAACCACCACAACCCATTCATGGAAAGTCACCATCACCGCCTCCAAAGTCTCCTCCACCACCTACACCGTATATTCATGGCAAGTCTCCACCATCACCTCCTAAGTTAGCTCCTTCACCACCAACACCACCTCCTAGTCATCTCACCACCACCGGCATGTCATGAAATGTGTAAACCAGGTGGTGAGAGTCCTCAACAACATTGCAATCTTCACCTAAGGACTAAAAAAAATGAGAGTCCTCAACAACATTGCAATCTTCACCTAAGGACTAAAAAAAAAGCCCTACGTGTAAACTTTCCCAACTCCACCTTGATATTAATATGAACCCAACTCATACCCTATTTGATTTTATACTTCACAAATACATACACGTGCATACACACAAATGCACAAAACATACATAAAAACATATATAACAAAATATCTTAAACAAATATTACAACGGATCACAAGAGGGAGTGACAATAACGAACATAAAATTATAGGTAAGATGATAATTGTAAGCGAAGCATCTGTTCCGCTTGTGTCTTGCATGAGATATTTCTTTTTTATTTGAGTTTTCATGATCGTTACTTTTTTCATGTAATTCTTCTTTTAATTTTGTTCTCGTTATATATATATATATATATATATATATATATATATATATATATATATATATATATATATATATATATATATATATATATATATATATGGGAAAAGTGAATATACCCATAAGCGTACATAAGTTTAGTTACCCAAACTCACTATAATACGTCGTTTTGTATCATATATATATATATATATATATATATATATATATATATATATATATATATATATATATATATATATATATATATATATATATATATATATATATATATATATATATATATATATATATATATACCAGTAAAATTTGATGGTGAAATGGATAAAATATCATGTAAATTTTGTTTTCTTATTTCCATTGGCCAATCAGAAGATTAAATTCTAAAGTTTCTCTAAAGGGAAATCTAGAAGAGTGTTGACGTTTTTCAATTTTTTTTTATCATTTCACAGGAATAAAATAGATTATATTGAACAAATAGGAGCCTATAGCGACGTGTTGTGTTATATAAAATACTTTATAAAAACAGAAAAATAGGGCAACAACCGCGGCACAATCCGTAGCTATTCGGTAGGTATAAGTCGATACCTTCGGGTTTGCTATGGAAAATGCTCTGTAGCATAAATGGCCGTCGGAAATTTTTACGTACGGAATTGCTACGGACTAGCTACTGAATAGTTACGGATATTTCCGTAGGTATAATACCTACAGAATAGCTACGGCCAGTAATTGCTATGGAATACCTACGGATTGCCAACGGGTGTATGTTCATACGGAATAGCTACAGAATAACATGGCTACGGATTACCCACGCAAGTATTTTCCTACGGAATAGCGACATAACTGTTTAGCTATGGATTTCCTACGGATTAACGACGGAACTCAAGTTTGACTAAAATTGACTTTCTTCCTACGGAATACCTACGGACCTATTTAGCGACGGATTTCTGTAGCTAGTCCGTAGCTAATTTCATTTTATCAAAAAAATAAATTTGAAAAATTTAAAAATTTCCATTTTTTTGTCAAATACTATATCAATTCAATTTGTCCAAAATACACCAAAAAATGTCCCTAATACCAACTTTGACACATTCAATTCCATTGTCTTAAATACCATACAAATGTCTCAAGTACCATACAAATTAGGCATAACAAAACAAGCAAACAATACAAGTGTTTACAAATTCAATTGTTCCGAAATACTTATCAATTGTTCCAAAATACTTATCAATTGTCCTCGGGTGGATTATCGGGGGGGGGGGGGGGCGGAGGGGGGGGGGGGGGCACGGGTTTGATTTCCAGACATATTTATCATCCTCATAAATGGCCGTCGGAAATTTTTACCTACGGAATTGCTACGGACTAGCTACTGAATAGTTACGGATATTTCCGTAGGTATAATACCTACAGAATAGCTACGACCAGTAATTGCTATGGAATACCTACGGATTGCCAACGGGTGTATGTTCCTACGGAATAGCTACAGAATAACATGGCTACGGATTACCCACGCAAGTATTTTCCTACGGAATAGCGACATAACTGTTTAGCTATGGATTTCCTACGGATTAACGACGGAACTCAAGTTTGACTAAAATTGACTTTCTTCCTACGGAATACCTACGGACCTATTTAGCGACGGATTTCTGTAGCTAGTCCGTAGCTAATTTCATTTTATCAAAAAAATAAATTTTAAAAATTTAAAAATTTCCATTTTTTTGTCAAATACTATATCAATTCAATTTGTCCAAAATACACCAAAAAATGTCCCTAATACCAACTTTGACACCTTCAATTCCATTGTCTTAAATACCATACAAATGTCTCAAGTACCATACAAATTAGGCATAACAAAACAAGCAAACAATACAAGTGTTTACAAATTCAATTGTTCCGAAATACTTATCAATTGTTCCAAAATACTTATCAATTGTCCTCGGGTGGATTATCGGGGGGGGGGGGGGGGGGCACGGGGTTGATTTCCAGACATATTTATCATCCTCATAACCATCTCCATTTGTTCTTTCATTTGTTCTTGTTGTTTTTCCATCACAGAAACTTGCGCACGCAACCTATCAACCTAAAAAATGGTGACACAATTCAATAGTTAAACAATAATAGCAATGTATTTTAGTTTATTGTAACAATGCATTTTAGTTTATAATTATAGCAATACACTTAACTTTTAAACCATAATAGCAACATATATTTATTTTTATCAATTTAATCAATATTATCAACAAACTATATAACCTTTAACCATAATAGCAACATACTTTTGTTTATTATCAATTTAATCAATATTCTCACGAAACGACCTAACTTTTAACCATAATAGCAACATATTTTTGTTTATTATCAATTTAATTAGTATTATCAACATACCTCTTGTTGTGTGCTATCCGACTGGGTGGACTGCGTGGATTGGGAAGATGGAGTCCCTAAAACCAAAAAATGCATATCCGATGCTCCTATACCATAAATAGCACCCTTCTTCTTTCCTTTTCTTCTAAGTTGGCTTTCCTCCCATACATCTACATCATCCTTACGATTTGAAGGATCTTCACCAAATTTGTTGACCAACCCCTGCAGATACCCCTCCTACAAATTACAAAAAACATGATTGTCATATACATAAATGAGACAATCAATATACATAAATGATAAAGATAAGTTACTAGTGCTTCTTTGGCCGTCTGCGAACAATATTCAATATTTTCATGATTTCCCTCAAAATATTTTTTCTTTGACTCGACAGTGCCATGCATCTTCACGAAAACATCATATTGTGTGGGTGGTTTACCCATCAATTTTTCCTACATAAAAGTCAACGTACAATTAATGTAGTTAGTGTTATAACAAAATAAGAATAATAAAATTTATTATTGTGATACTTACTAATTTCCTATGGTGCTGCTCAAATCCTATACTACCCGCAGTGTGTCTTGCTGTTGACCCACTAGAATCTGCGGTGTTGCGGTTCTGCTGAGCGATTTTTGAATTCTTTTGCCACTTCTCTGTGGACCAATACTTTGAAAAGAATATATATATATATATATATATATATATATATATATATATATATATATATATAAGTACAATAATATAATAAGAAATAAAAAACTTAACAAAAAAATAATAATGTATCATATCCGTTACATCACACAAAAGTTGCCACACAGTATCCGGTACGCGTTCGGGGCGGTAGTTATGCATCCCATCATAGTAGCTACAAAACTTTAGAGAGGGGGGGGGGGGGTTCCTATCATTTCGTGCCATGTTGGCAGATTGTCTCGTGATACCTTTCATCCTATCTCTGTATCTATCCTTGAGGACACACTTGAATGCATCAAATATGTTCTCATTCTCTGGTGAATGCCACCTGTACATTGTCTGTAATAGATAAAAAGTAAATTTAAAAATACAAACTAAAAACAAATAAGTATAAGATACAATAACAAGTATTTAATATATTACCCCGAAACGCGAAAACATCTGTAGAAGAGCCTCATTTGGAATATCACTGAACCGGGCCCACGGATGATCTAAATTCTCCCAAAAGAGATGAATACACGCGTTGTGGGTTTTTTGATCCCCAAACCTACAGTATTGAAAAAACTATATAAGTATAATTATAACATCAAGAAATTAAGCTTTAAATGATGAAAACCCTAACTTTTCCCCATCTCGGCTGATGAGGGGGCAACGATGAGGCGTGAAAATCACTCGCATTCGAATCGTGACCTCTTGAAATACCTCTAGAGGCGGAGCCATGCGGTGTCAATGGCGTGTTCGGTGCCATCGGTGTGTGTGGGGTATGTGGTGACTGAAAGGTTTCCTCTGCATCTGCACCCTCAAAACAAAAGTCCTCAAACCCATCATTACCACTTTTCCTCAAAAACATTTGTGGGGACTGAGGTTTATAATCCGTTTGTGGTGGGAGCTGAAGCCTATAATCCGTATGTGGGACCTGGGGCATATGACCCCTCTCTCGAGCCCGACGGCGAAGAATCTCGGCCAAGTCTTCTAAAGGATCAGCCATACCGGTTCGCTGACTAATAGCACCCTAACTGTTGGAGCCTGCAACTCCTGTCACTATCGGCATATCGATCGGTACGAGTTTCGTCCTATAACGTGGCTCTTCGGTATAATTAGGGGATGCCCTCCCCACCCTATGCCTCGCACTACCAGAAAAAGAGTTGTTACTGTGGCCTTTATCCTTGCGTCTATTACCCGACATGCTGCATTTAATAGAACAAGAATGGTCAGTTATATGATATATGATTAATAAGTTATGACAAAAGAAATGTTTAAAAGAACAATATGTCCAAACCAAAATCATTAAAAAACAACATTTAATTTTAAGGTTTTAAAAAAGAAGACAATGCTCTTAACATCAACAAATACAATGCTCTTATCATCACAAAAAGACAATGCTCCTAACATCCGTCCCCATCATCTTCGTCTTCAAATTCTTCTTCTGAATAATACAACTCGTTTTCATCATCTTCCACTTTTTTGTCTTCCTCCCTAATTCTCTCATTCTCATCATCAGATATTTGCTCATACGTATTAGTAGTTGAGGCTAGGCACAATCGTTCTGCACGAGTTACAGTAAGGGGTGACTCAAATCGTTCTTCATCCTGAAAGACTTCATCTGCTTCCATTTCAGCTTCGGTAACTTCAAATACCCCTCTTGGTTTTGTCTTGATCACTACCCACTTATCTTTAGTCTCCCTTGTCATTGAAGTGTATGGTGTATAAAACACTTGTTCGGCTTGTGATGCCAAAGAAAAAGGGTCGTCAATTTGAAGTCGAGAGTTTGATTTGACATCAATCAACTTGTTTTTGTTGACTATTACATCGTCTTTGTTATCAAACCAAATACAATTAAACAGTACAACAGTCGAGGGTCCGCTGCTATAATACTTAATCTCTATGATCTCTTGCACTATACCATAGTAGTCTGACTCTTGTTCGGCATTATACGTCTCCCCTCTCACACATACTCCAAAGTTATTCGTCACACGACCCTCACCGTATTGTTGAGTGTGAAACTTATAACCATTTACGAAATGCCCATTATAGTAATGAGCATGTCTCGATGGTTTATTAGCTATAACTTCTAAGTGTCTAGCACTTCCATCAGGTGTCTTATACATTACCTACAGTGAAAATATACACATTATGTTGGTTAATGATGCATTGGTAACAATCAGTATGATTTAACTATTTCTACTTACTTTGTCCTCAAACCATTCATCAAAGTATTTATCTCTTAAATCTAAAACTGATTCGTTTGGATTTGTTTTCATGACCATTTCATCAAACTCCATGATGTAAGGGTTAACTTCGTTACAGTTAAGTAATATGTAGGTGTGCGCCTTGTGGAAATCTTTATCAGTCACAGCTTGTCATTTTCCACTTTTTTCATATAATCTTCTTGAAGGGACAACAAAGATGCTAAGTGGAGCTTCTCCACTAGAAAAATTATGACTTTGCGGTGCAAAATTCCGTGCTTCTCGATTATGGAGTGTCTCAATCATCGGGTCAAAATATAACGAACAATAGGTAGCGAGTTCATTCACTAGATGTTCGTTGACTATTGAACCCTCAACCCTTGCTTTGTTCCTTATTCTTCTTTTAATTATGCCCAGTTTCCTATATTTACAAAGTATAGGCGATGTGTTAGGAAATGCAACGTTTTCGAGCATATATAATATTAAAACATATGATTACCTCTCTTATTGAAACATCCATCTATAATGTACCGGACCACCAACAATAGCTTCATCAACTAAATGTATGACTAGGTGTTCCATTGAATCAGAGAAGCTCGGAGGGTATATTTGCTCCAACTTGCACATAGTCTGAATAATACTGCATTTCATATCGAACATGTCCTGAAAATGCAACGTTTTCGAGCATAATACTCGAAAGTACATAAATATCTCTGATACGGCCTCGTATATCTTTGTTGGAACAAACCCTCTTAAAGCTAGGGGAAACAACTGTTGCATAAACACGTGGCATCGTGGCTTTTGAAACCATAGAAACTGTAATCTTTGATGTTTACGCAGTTTCCTATATTTAATGCATACCCGTCAGGAAATTTGATCTTTTTCAACCACTCACATACTTTTTGAACTTGGTCCTTTTTCAATGTGTAATCTCCACGCTTCTTCCTAGCCTTCCTGTTGTTGTCCCTAATAGGGTTTAGTATAGGTCGATCACATAGCATCTCAATATCCTCTCTTGCCTTTATATTGTCTTTGGACTTTGAGGTGCCCATCGAAGTCTGAAACATATTTTCAAAAAAAATTCCGCTGAATATGCATCAAATCAAGGTTGTGTCGGATCAACAGGTGACGCCAATATGGAAGCTCCCAAAAGATGATCTTCTTTATCCAGTTATGTGTAATACCAAAACCATGTGGTTTTGCATAATTTGGACCATAGGGTGTACCGTTGTGTACAGTGGGAAAATGTTGAATTTTCTCCCAAATATATTCTCCAGTTGGGTACGGAACAGGCACTTCATGACCCTTCACTTTCTTGCCTTTTAAAAAATTAACTGTATCATTTCGAAATACGTGTCTTTCGGGTAGATGTTTTCTATGACAGTCAAACCAACACGATTTTTGTCCGTTGAGAAGCCGGAATGATTATGTTTGGTGCATGCAAAATGGGCACGCTAAATTAGCATGCGTGCTCCATCCGGACAACATTCATAAGCAGGGAAGTCACTAACTGTCCATAGAAGTACAACCTTCATTTGAAAATTGGTTATTCGATGAGCATCATAAGTTTCAATGCCATCTGTGAAAAACATCTTCAACTCTTCCACCAAAGGTTGTAAAAAAACATCCAAATTTTGTCCAGGACTCTTCTTCTTAGAAATGATCAATGGAAGTTGTATGTACTGATGTTTAAAAGCCAACCAAGGGGGTAGGTTGTAAACAGTGATAAACACCGGCCAACATGAATAGGGAGTTGTATTTGAATTATTAGGACTAAACCCATCAGTACACAACCCGAGACGAATGTTGCACGTCTCATTTGCAAAATCAGGATATGTTGTGTCAAAATGATTCCATGCTTTACCTTCATTGGGATGTATCATCTTTTCTGGATCTATTGAATGATATGCATGCCAAGTTAAATGTTTGGCCGTCTTCCTTGAATAAAAGAGCCTTTGAAGTCTCGGTCCAATCGACATGTAAGTCAAGACCAAATGAGGAACTTTCCTCCCTCTGTCTTTGTATCTATTTTCACCACATACTACACACCGATCCAGATCAACAAATTGGCACCTAAATAGCATGCAATGGTTTATACACACATGAATCCGTTCTGAAGGCAATTTTACTGGCTTCAACATTTTCTTGGTCTCGTAGAAGCTGTTAGGAAGCTTCTCGCCAGATGGTAGAATGTCTTTAACAATCGAATGTAGTTTATCAAATGACGTGTCCGAAACATTAGATTGTGATTTCCAGTCTAATAATCTAGTGGTCGCGGCGACTGTGGAAGTTTTTGTACACCCATCCCATAAAGGCTCACTCGCTTGTTTCAAAATTTTATAAAAATTTTGGGCTTTAAGATTTGGGTCGTGTGGTGTTTGTTGATAATAAGAAGCCTCGGGTTGATGCATGCATTCGATGACCATCTCCTCGTATATACAATAATCACCAAAATCGTTATCAATGTGTTGACTCGCTTCAGGGTTTGAACATTGACCAATCTTTAGTGTTGGATATTTTTCTCCATGTAAATACCATAGTGAATAACCATTCATGAATCCACGGACAATAAGATGGTTAAAAACTGATTCTATCGGGTGGTAATAAATATTTTTGCATTTCACACACGGACATCTTATTTCAAAAACTTCCACCCTTTCCCTAATAATACGTTGGATGTTTCTTGCGTTCGTGTAAGCAAAATCCAAAAACAAATTGACATAATGTGGCTATTGCGGATTAAACAAACGACGACTATCAAGTCTCTTCGTGTACATCCATTCTCTATTAGACAACATTTTGATCTAAAACTACATTTCCATTTGAAAATGTTAATTAGAATCCTAACATTTCAATATAATAATGTAACATCCCATTTAATCTAATATGTATGACTAACGATACATAACATTTCAACAAATGATCAATATCATAATATGCATTTTAAATTAACTAAAAATCCATATATAAGCATTTAACTAACATTTTTAACAAATTTAACAAATTAATTTAAAATTTTTATATAACATATGTATCATATTTAACAAATCTAAAACCTCAAATTCAACCTATATTTCATATTTAACAAATCTATAACCACACATTCAACAAAGTGCAGGAGGAAGTAATTTTAACAAATCTTAAACACCAAAATCAACCTAAAACATCACATTCAACAAAAAAATAACCTAAAACCTCATATTCAACAAAAAAATCAACCCTACTAGCTCACATTCAACAAAATCACACCTAAAACAAAGTAATTTTTAAAAAGAAACAAAAAAGAAAAAAAACTAGAGTTTACCTTTGGTTCGATGACGGGAAAAAATGTAGCAGGAAGAAGCACCGACAGTGGCAGTGCCGTCGACGTCGGAAAAGTGCAGGAGGAGGAAGGGGCGCCACCACCAGGGCAGTCTTCCCCAGAGAGAGAGAGAGAGAGCTGTAGCGTGAATTTTTATTTTTTTTATTTTTATTTATTTATTTATTTATTTTTGTTCTTGTAAGCTACGATATGAGAATGGGGAAGACAGAAAAGTGGGGCATATATCATTAAATTAGAGACAACGGCCAGCAAAAAAAAATTGTTGCTGCAGGAATCGAACTCGAGTCTCAATAGTATTAAACCAACAGTCTTACCAACCGGTCGGGTACACCACTTCCTTAATTGTTTAGACTCCAATTGATTTTATTTTGTTTCTGGAAAAATAAGAAAAACGGGGTGGGGTAAGAATTAAAGTCGAGTCTCCTGCATAACTAACCACACAATTACCATCCGGCTGGGCATGCCACATCCTTGTTGAGT